CACCAGGGAGGGTCAGGGACAATTATCTGTGTGCACCTACTGTGTGTCGAGCATTGGCAGCGCTTTCCCCACCTGACCTCCTGAAAGATGGGGGCTGCCCCAGTTTACTGATGGGAAGAGTAGGGTCCAGGGAAGTGAGGACCCTGTTGGGGAATGGTGGGTGTGGACCGCTGGCCTTGAGGTCAGCTTTATAGGAAGGGAACTGGAGGGGAGCCCGTGGAGGAGAGTTGGCCCACGCAGCTCTTGTCAGTAGCAGTGGGAGTATGGAGGGCAGACTGAGGTCACTGCATGGGTCACCCCCTAGGTCATGGGGCCTGCTCTCCGCTGGGTCCCCCTGCCCTCCGCCCCTCCCCTAGCTCAGCCATGCCGCTCTCCTCTCCCCCTGGCCACCTTAGGGGCCCCAGCCCTTTTCTGGGGCCTCCTGCTGTGCCCACCCTGACCCTCTGGCCCTGCCTGCATGCCTCCCTCTTTCCTGATGACCCTACCATGCCCCCGCCTGTGCTCCTCCTGCCCGTAGAGGAGACCGAGCCCTTCGCTGTGGAGTTACCTTTTTCCACCTCACACTTCCTCTCTGGCTTGCCAGCTTTGTCTTGGGGAAGGCTGTACTTTCACTTGAGCCATACTCATCCCTGTCCCCACTATGACCCAGCCCAATGGTCAGCATTTCCTTTCCATTGTTCTGATTTGGCTTCTTCACCCACTTTTCCCCCAGTTCTGGAGAATATCTGGGTTCCCCAAGCCAGTGGCCATTCCCAGTCACTCCAGCAGTCTCTTATAGGCTACGGCAGAAGCCCCGTACCACCTTTCAGTTATAGAGACTGACAGCAGCCCTGGACTCCCATGTGGTATAGCCACAAGTGGCTGTGAAACTTCTTGGGCAGCACATCTGGGTCTCAGTTTTGCCTTCTGTTGAGTGGGTCAAAACAATGCCTGGAACATAGTGGCATTCAACAAATTCTTGTTGAATTAGTGAGCTAATTAAGTAACTAATTCCTGGTCTGCCCACCTTACCTGAGTATTATGCAGACCAAAGTGGATTTAAAAGGGCTTCGCAAAGTTTGACAGTTATTGTTTGGCGATGAGCATCCTTAGACCTAGGTTGAGAGTGGCACAGGAGTCCCGAGGGGCAGAGACTAAGGTCTGCAGAACCTCCCCACCTGGCTCTTAGCTTTGCTGCACTGTTGCCTATTCAGTTAGAGCCTTTTGGCTCATGCCCTCCCTGCCCACAACAGGTCAGTCCTGGCCCTCGACCCCTGAGACCAACCGGCCCTGGCCTGGCCTAAGCACCTTCAGGGCCTCAGCACTGAGTCCACCTCTACACTCCCTGACTTGATTTCAGCTCTGCCTTGTGCCCTGGCAGTCCTGCCGATGGTCTGCACACCGTCCTGCTCTCACAGACTCAAGTCCTGAGATTTCTGGCTTCCCGGGTGCTGACTACCTTCCCATGAGTGCCTCACTTCAGTGGACCCAGCCCCCGCCTCCAAGCCTCCACCTCTGGGCAGAGTCCTGTGTGCCAGTCCCAAGTGTGGGAGGGGCGTGAGGAGGATAGGAGGAAGGAAATGCTGCCCTGTTCAGAGGGAACCCCTAAGGCTGAAGCACCCACATGCACACAACAACCAGAGACTGGGAGGTGGGGTTCTGCAGTAGGAGATATCCATGGTTAGGGGCAGGGAGGATTTCCTGGTGGAGATCATAGTGTCAAATGCCAGCCAGTGAGGACAAGGAGGAGGGGACAAAGAGGAGGAGGTCCTTACGAGTGGGCAGGGCAGCACAAGCAAAATTGTCCCAAGTGCCCATTCTGCTGGGCTCTCGGTCAGCTTCATTCCCTCCCATGACACAGCCCTTGGGTGGGTGTCATCAGCTCTATCTAATGGGCAGAGAAATGGAAATTCAAATGGCTTCAGGTGCTCATCCAGGGTCATCCTCTAGCATGGATGTCACACCTTAGGTGTGGCATCTTTTCAGGCTCCTATGTGGAGGGAATGAGGGAGAGTCTGGGGAGGAGGGCTGGAGGCTGGCAACCCCACCAACCAAGTGTCATCCAGCTGCTCACTGACTTTCAAGGAGGGATGTGGGAGGGCGAGGGATGGCTTTCCACGGTGGTCCTGTTGTTCCCCTCCCCATGTGGGAGAGCCCTCACTATGAGAGGTTCCTGTCCTGCACCCCGTCCTTGGAAAGGCCAGAAGTTTGCCTTTTCAGAGGATAATTCCCCATTATACAGAGATAGTTAGCCTAATAGAAGCTGACAGGTCATTCAGGGCGGTAATGTACTCCGGCTTCAACTGTTTACTTTCCAGAGCCGGAACTCCCAGGTTAAAGACCCCTCGCCCCTGCTTTGCCTGTGCCCCTCCTGCAACCGTACCTGTGACCTTAACTGCTGTGATGGGGTAGATTTCTCCCTCTCTCCCTCCCTCCCTTCCCATCCTTTGGGGGCTCCTCTTTCTTCCTTTACTCTCACTTGAAAAAAAAAAGTATTTCCTTCTTAAATATTCAGTTGAGAGGCTAGTGCTTAAAAGCTGCATGCTCTGGGGAAAGGCTGATTGTGCTTGCTGCCAGCAAAAACCAAAACACTTGGCTGGCCCCCAACACTCACTCAGCCACATGGGCAATCTGGGCGGCTAGACCCTCTAGCCAGGCATGGGCATACAGAGGCTGGGCAGATGGCAACGAAAGTGGCACTTGATGGCCTTTCATTCATCAAGACAGCAGCTTCTGAGGATGCCCCCTCCTGTCCCCTGGGAGGCCCCCTTGTCAGGTCATCTGTCTCCTCTGCTCTCCGTCTTGTCTTTGTCTTTCCATCTCAACCCTTTCTCTGCCCTCCTTGTCCCACCCTCTTTCATCTGCTCACCAGGCTGCCTATTTGAACCCCTTTGTGCTTCTGTCCCAGCAGCAGGGAGCATGGGATAAAGCACTGGGTGTTTGGAATCAGTCAGTCCTGGGTTCAAATCCTGACTCCAGGACTTACAAGCTGTTTCTGTTCAATTTAATATTTTGAATTGGGACAAATTCCTTAATCTCTCTGAGCCTTTGTTCCCTTATCTGGACAAAAAAGATATAAAGCGAGATGCTGCATTCTGAGGGTTCAGTGTGTAATGTGGCCACGGGGGAGTCCTGGGGGTGGCAGTTTGCCCTGCCTTGGTGAACCATTTCCCCTGAGGAGCCCCCACCTTATGATGCTCTGACCTTTCCTGCCCAGATGCCCTTTCTCTTCCCCTGTGGACAGGAAAGGGGAAGGTGTTCAGGAGGGGTGTTTGGGAAGGTGGGCTCTGGATCCCCTTGGTCACAAGCTGCCTGCACAGATGTGAGGGGAAGAATGAGGCTGAGTGGGAGAGACCCTTCTCCTTGAGTTCATTTCCTGGGCAAAGCTTAGTGTCTGTTTCCAGGCCTGGCTTGAAGGAACCAACTCTTAAGGGGCTGAGACAAGACTCTCAGGGGTCAAAAGGAGAGCAGGTAGAGGAGCAGCGCCTGTGTGACCTGGGAGAAGCCTTCCTGGCTAGGACTCTACCCCCAGGCTTCAGAAAGGCAGGCAAAGAGAGCCTCTACCCTTCAGGGATGGGGACCCTTGGAAGCTGGGTTGAAGCCTGGGGTGGGGTGGTGGAGATTCCTGCTTCTTCCAGGGCAAGGAATAGCAGGACGACCATTGTGGGTGTAGGAGGGGAAGGTCCCTAGGTGTGGAGCCAGAGAGAGAATCCGGGACTGAGGCATTATGGGACTTTGAGCTGGTCCCATTCCCTCTCTTGGCCTAGGTTTCCTCATCTGCTAAATGGGGTTAATCATTCTACCCTATCTGCTTCAGAGGTTGGATAGAAGATCCAGTTAGAGAATAGATGGGAGTGTTCTGTGATCTATAATGTCATAATAAAAACTATCATTATCTAGCCTTCCTTCATCTTTGTAACACCCACTTTGATCTACAAAATGTAGCTCTAACCCATATGTTAATAAACTTGAAGACTCATGGCTATAAGCAACTTCCCTTCCTGTTTAGTGCAGACCCCATCTAACACACATGGCACACATGTAGAGGTCCCCAGAACTCTACTTGCATGCCCCCAGGGACAAGGAGCTCCTGATTCCCAATGCTGAAGAAAGATTTGTCTCTCTGAAATCTTTTCTCACCGGGCCTAGCTCTGCTCTCTGGGCCTGTAAATACCAAGTCTTTGTCAGAGAACTGAAGTCCCCAGGGGACATGGGTTCCAGGCCTGCCTTTTCCTGACAAGGACTCCGTGAGCAGATCTTGCTTTATCAAAGACCTTCGGGACAGATACATTGATGACTGGGCATGGCTGTCTGGAGGTGGTTGTACCATCTCCAGAGCTGGAGTGGCTGGCTCACCCAGCCTCAGGGTCTCCTGGCCACCAGGCTCCCTAGCCACTTTGTGCAGCTGGCTCTGGGAACTACTCTCAGGCTTCACCCATGCTCTACTGACTCTCTCTTGTCCACTTTGACCCATTCCTAGGGCAAGTGGAGGGCTTTGTACAGGGCACTCTGCCTCCTTAATTGACCCCTTCCAGGCTGGAACTACCTTCAAGATCCCATCTTAGTCTTTCAAAAGAGTTGTTCTAGGCAGGGCCAAGGACCAGCCCTGCCAGTGCCAGTGAGAATCCACCCTGTGGGCCAGTTTGACCCACCCTGCACGTTCCTGGACATGACTACTTAGCTAACCATGGAGCAACTTAACCCAGTTTCCTGTCTCATCCACAAGGATGTCATGAGGGCTTTACTGGAGTGTTGTCACTCTTTTCTTTTTTTGCAATTGATTATTTTATTTTCCAGTCAGCCAACAATCCAACTTTTTATGCAATGACTGTCCTCCAGAGAAAGCAACGAATCTGACTCCAGCCTTACCCTCTTCAACCTTTTGGACCAGTGGACATGAGTTTCTGGTGAAAGTGATTTTACCATGTTTAAATTAATAACTGGGAGTTCCTTTTTTATTTTTATTTATTTACTTTATTCTCACTAGAGGACTTTTTTTTTTTTTTAAATTTCTTTTTTAGAGAGAAAGGAAGGAAAAGAGAAACATCGACACGAGAGAGAAGCATGAATTGGTTGCCTCCAGTACATGCCCATACCAGGATCACACATGCCCATAGCAGGGATTGAACGTGCCCATACCAGAGGTCAAACCCACAACCTAGGTATGTACCCTAACTGGGAATCAAACCGACAAATTTTCAGTTATGGGATGACACTGTAACCAACTGAGCCATACTGGCCAAGGTGGGAATTCCTCTTTTAATGTCTCCAGGCTTGATTTGCGGAAGGGCTGGGCTTTACACATTTCTTATTTCTTTCCAGTCTATTCCCAGAGCCAGAGAATAGACTCTTCAGCTCTCTAGCATAGCTCATGTAGTCAGCTTTGCCTTCTGTTGACTCCTCATGCGGGGCTTGTTTTTAGGATTCCTTGTAATCCAGTAGAGCGTCAGAGTCTGCACTCATGTCACACTTGATGATGGACACAGCCTTGTCAGGCTTGATCTCTATCACCCACAGTTCATAGATCTTGTCATTGCAGTTTGCCTTTCCTCAGAAGTCAGACAGACAAAATTTCTCCATGTGTTTTCTAATACTGCTTTAGGGTTGGTGATGTTCAGGAAGTGAGGGCTCTGAGGCTGAAATTTGGAGTATGCGGCCACTTGAAGGTTGACAGCCCACCTGAACCAGGCAAATTCGGCATCATCCAGTGTGGAAGGTAGCGGATACCCTCTTCAACCACCAATTCCAACACACTGTAGCGCATCATGAGGTCCTGGTTCTTGTCGGTTAGTTTAAACAGCATGGGGTAGGTTCTGTTGAGTTGGCTGAGCTGATCGAGGCCTGAAGGTGGCATAATTACCTTCCTGCCTTTCTTCACATCTGACTTGTCATTAGGCCCCACAGGCATGGGCATGGAGACAAAGCCATACTGTATGGAGAAGCATTTTTGGAAGACCCAGGGAATCAGCTGTTCAAACATGTTGAAAGAGAACATTATAGCACTTTTGCCTCACAGGTGCTGCTTCCTTTTCGAGCAGCTGAGAGAGGATGTGTGGTTATCTTGCAAGACTCTTTGGTAGTGAACTCGTTCAACTTGCTATTGTCTTTCCTGGTGTTTTGTGCAGCCCTTCTAGAACTTCTATTAGAATGGACATGAAACTCACTAGTCTAAGCCCAAATTGGCTTCCTCTTTTTAAAACAAAAGGGAAATGATGCTAGTATTTATAAATGCCAGTTCTTCACATATATCATTTCACTGAACCTTCATCACAACTTCTGTGGGAGGACTGTGGTTGCCACTCTACAGATGAGGGAATTGAGCCTTGGAAAGTAACACAACTTAACCCAGGGTCCCAGAGCTAGCAAGGGACAGAGCTGGAACTCAGACCCTGGGTGATCTTATTCTCAAACTCATGCTTTTCCCAGACATTGCCCCTCACCCCAGCCCCCATGCTTCCTCCTATGACTTCTCACAGATTCAGCCAGCATGTTCTCCAGCCAGCCTGTGCAGGGTTCCTGCTCTGGGCCAGCTCCCCTGCACCCTTCCCATCGGGCCTCCTGCCCTGCGCGCCTTTTTGGACAATCTTGTCTCCTGTCAGCCTAAGTATGGTGCCCAATCTCTGCTTCTCCCTACACACTGCACCCTGGGCCAGGGAACAGAGCAGGGGCTTGGGAGAGAAAAGACTGATTATTTTATTTTCCAGTCAGCCAACAATCCAACTTTTTATGCAATGACTGTCCTCCAGAGAAAGCAATGAATCTGACTCCAGCCTTACCCTCTTCAACCTTTTGGACCAGTGGACATGAGTTTCTGGTGAAAGTGATCTAAGAAGTGATCTAAGATCTGGTGAAAGATCTAAGGAGTCATCCTTGATGCCTTTTTCTTACTCCACCGCTCACATCCAGCTCAGGTCATTGCTTCTGCTACAGCTTACATGCTGAATCCTACTAGTTCCTCCTTCACCCTGGCCAAGCCTGGCCTTCCATCGGTAGAGTGGTTACTAATCTGAACCCCACAATGCCGTAGGGTGTCCAGGAGTAATGGGTGTGAATGGGCTTGGTAAGCATGGAGCACTGCATACTGTGGCAACCCAGCCCTGACCCTCATCTCTTTCCTCAGTTTTCTTGCTCAGTATTGCTGGTAAGCACTGCTGTGTGTCAGTTACCCATCTCTATGTTTATCATTTTTAGTGGCTGTGTAATATTCTATTGAGCAGAACTTTCATGATGCACTGTGTCATCTCTGTCGTAGCGTGTTCAGGCAACTTCCAGCATCTTGCTGTTATAAATAACCCCACAGTGAACAGCTCTGTGCCCTGAGCACTTCCCCACTAATGCACCTTTCCCCCAGGCAACCTCAGGGACATTTTGTTGAGGCTACTTTGCTGGGCAGCTGAGAGATAGGCGAGCAGCAGTAGCTGGCAGAAGGAGGTCCCTTCAGAGGTGGTCTGATATGCCGACACAGGAGCAGCAGCATGGGTAGGAGGGCAGCAAGACACTCAATGTGACTGTGTTGAGCATGAAGGGAAAAGCAGGGAATCTCGCATGGTAGTGCTGAGCACGGTGGGAGAACATGAAAAGCCACTATGGAAAAGTGCAGAGTAGGTGCATGTAGAGTTGGGACTAGGAGGTAGAGGAACTAGATTCTGGTTTTGCCTTTACCATGTTCTTGTTCTGTGACCTTGGGCAAATTCCTTCCTTTCTCTGGACCTCAATTTTCTCCATCTAATGTGGCCAGGGGCCGGACAAGTTTTGGTCCAGAGCGATGCTGTCCACTATGGTAGCCACTACTCACATGTGGCTATTTCAACCTAACTGCAAATTAATAAAAACAAAATAATTAATTTCCTTGTCACTCTATCCATATTTTAATATCCATTTGTGACTAGTGGCTACCACATTGAGCAGCACAGCCATAGAACAGTCCATCACTGCAGAAAGCTCTATCAGACTAGGCTGGTCTCTGGACATTTCTAGAGAGCCAGTCAGCCTTACTGTGTTGAGATTTGGGATCTCTGTCATCAAGCCTTTTTATGGAGCCAAGAGGAAGGTGAGAAGCCCTTAGAGGACTAATTAAGGACCTAAAGAGGTCAAGTGATTTTTCAAATGCCAGGACCCTGGAAGTGTCCTGAGTCTGAAAAAGCTATACCTGGCTTCTCTTCCCCAAGTTTTTAGCTTGGCTTCAGAGAGAAGCAGGGGACGAATGTGGGCCCCACTCAGGGTGGCCTCCAGCCAGGGATGGTGCCCAAGGGAGGAGGGCTTGAAGGCAGAGTAGGTGGTCTCCTGTTTCCTTGGAGGGAAGGTCTTTGGAGAGCCTACTCAGGTCTCTGCCCATGCCTGAATTGCCACCGGCCATCCCCTTGCGTTAAACATTATCCTCTCTGGGATTCCTTTAAAAACCTGGACTAGAGATCAAAGAATATGGCCACCTTACTCAGCCTGCCCCACTCTGGCTGCCTCAGGCCCTAGGCCTAGCTCTGGGCACTTGCTGGGAGATGAACTGTGAGAAATGAGTCCACAGCATGAGAGGGTGAAGCTGCTCTGACCCTTCCCCACCGCTGAACTTGCACACTCTGGCAGCAGCACTTTGTTTCCAGCTGCACTTGCCCCCAGCCCTCTCTTCTCTGCAGAGGGCAGACCTTCTGCAGGTACTTTTCTGTAGCCTGGAGGTTCTCCCAGGGGGAGGGGAGGAATCTGGAGGAAGGGACAGTAAATGTGGAAAATAAGATGCAAGGCGTGAGGAGGCGAAGACAAACTTGACTATGGTCTCTCCTTTGTCAAGGCCACTGTCTGCCCTAACCTGTGCTCCAATGTCCCTCTTTCCCCCAAATGAATTACTCTTGCTTCTGTTTTCTAGGGATCCCAAGAACATGTCCTGTTTGCCCTGAGTCTGTGGGGCAGCACAGCCTCCCACGGGCATTTCAGAGCTGTGGCCCTGTCCAGCCCCTGGACCAGCTCCCAAGCCTTTTTCCCACCCTAGCCTGGGTCAAGCGGACTCCTCAAGCTTCGGGACTCAGTGGGGCACAGTAGCAGTCACGGTAGGTGGCATCCCAACCCTGCCCACTCCCTGGTTTCTAGGGATACCTGTGCCTTCTTGGTCCCTGGAACAGGAAGGATACCTTTATGAACAGTATGTATCAGGATCCCTTTGGTTGCAAGTAACAAAAAACCTGTCTCAATAAAATGAAATGATCAGCGCATGTAACCAAAGTGTCCAGAGGTAGGATGGGCTTCAGGCAGGGCTTGATACAGTGGCTCAAACAATGTGACCAGGATCTAGTTTTCATCTGTATTCCTCTGTTCCCCTTCCTTGGTGACGACTCTGCTTCTAGTGGTATTTCACAAGATATGGTCACAAGATGTCTGCCAGCAATTTAGGGCAACCTGCCTCCAGCTTTAAATCTGGTATTGGGGTAGAGACAAAATCTGCTTTCCTGATAGAACAAATACAAGTCCTGGAGTTATTCTCTTATACACAATTGACAAGATTTGGATCACCTTGATCCTTTAAATGGGTGCACAGGGCTTGGATGGTCTGGGGGGTCAGGGTTCCTCTTTCCCTAACTGTTAACCAGAATTGAGGGAAGATGTTTTCCAAAGGAAGCCTGTGGTCCTGCTGGCAGAAAGGAGATGCCTCTAACTGGGGGAGGCAAATAACAAATGATCATTAGACAGAGTCTGCCCATGCTCTTTTTCAAGGCCAAGTTTAGGATTCTCCTCCAGGAAGCCTCTGCTGGCTGCTTCAGCCCGTGGTTATCTCCTTTAGTCCAACCTCTAGCTCCACCCTTTTTACAGATGGAAAGACCAAAGCTCAGTGTGCATTTTCTCATGAATACTCTATCGGTTATTGCATCAGTGCCAAAATGAACTGCTTTCTTTGCCTCGGCTGCGAGGAAACTCATAGCTGGCTTGTGGCCCATTTCTGATTAGCACTCAGGATGCTGTGGCATGCAGTTGCTCAGTAGCCTTGCCTCTGGCTTTATCTTGTTCTCTCTCATTTTTTCTTTGTTCTGTGTTCTTCTCTTATTTTTGGCCATGTACCGTTCTTAGCAACATCTCACTCTTTTAGGAGAAGCTGGGTATAAATAACCAAGAGTGGTCATAAATGAAGCATTCTGCACCAACTCTAGCCAAATGCTAGGCCTTCCCCGTCCTAGGGGCAGCTGGTCACCCCTAGGTCCAGGGCCAAGCCTTTCCCCAGGGAAACAGGAGAGCCTGACCATGGTGGTCCCAGGACAGTGCCCACCCTGCCCTCCACAAGTCAGGAATGGCATTGTTTTGCTTCCCACCTGCTTCTCTCACCCCTCCCTGTCTTATAAGAAACTAATGGAAGAGACTGGGAAACCCAATCCTCTGATAATTAAATTTACTTAACGGGTATTCAAGTGGAATAATGAGAAGTTTAATGCAGTGATTAGATTTTCTTTAATTAATTAAAATGAGAATCATGTGTCTTGCCAGCAAACCAAGTTGATGCTGTGCTTGAGAGTAGCAGGCAGAGACAGTGAAGGGACTTGGCTGGGTGGATGGGTGCTGAGGGGCGGTACAGCCTTTTGCCCTGGCACTGCCATTCTCAGAAGTAAGCCCAGTTCTGATGCCCACCCAGGCCAATATCTGAGTCAGCTCCCATTTCTGAGCCCTGTAAGTGCCAGGCCTTGTCTAGTAGACCCGGCATAGAGGTTTCAGAGGAGGGTCAGCAAGGGTGGCTTAGAGCAACGGGCACTGAAGAAGGATTTCAGGCACTCTGATGGGGGATACATTTGCGTGGCATATTTCATTGCCATATGCCTTCACCTGCATGTTCAGCCAGACCTGAGTTTACCTCTGCTGATACTGGATCAGTTGGGCTAATGGAGTTGGGGCAGCGGGGTGGATAATCGAAAAACCTGAGGAAACCCACAAACTGCTTCTCCTTGGCTTGGGAATGCATCCATTCCCCAAGTGTTTCTGAAGGCCATTTAGGGGTGCAAGGATGCACTTCCCACCTTGAACTACCTCTGCTGGGGTCATGCGAGGACTCGAGCAAAGTGAATGTGGAGATCTCAGCATAGCTGTCTGGAATAGAGCACAGGATGAGTCTTGCTAGGGTAGAGGTATAGTGGGGGCCCCAAAGATAGGCCCTGACACCCCACAGACAGGATATGTTGTTTTCAAAGCAATGGGTAAGGCTGGGGAGGGTCCTGAGCCTTAGGTGGGTGGGGAGCAGAAAACTCCTTCATGGAGCCATGACCCCAGCTCCACACTGAGCCCTAATCCTGGGCAGACTGAAGCTTGTTCCTGGTCCCACATTGAGCCTAGCATTATCGTGGGATGTGTCAACAGAGAAACAGGTGTCCAGGTAGGAGGGCTGAATGGCTCTTTTTTTGATCCCTGCTGCCAGCTTTGCTGCCCGTGGGCAGGACTTCTATGCCAGGACCCACACAATGGAATGGACAAGATGAATCAGACATGGTCCCTGTCCACAAGACTGGTGGGGGAGGTGACAAGCAAACAGGTGTTGACTGCCTGGTGACCAGAGTTGAGGCACAGGAGGCTCAGCGAGCTGGAAGGCTGTAGATCTGTACTTAGAGCATTCCTCGGGCAGCAGGTGGGAGGGAGGTGCTAGAGGCAGTGTGAGGAGGTCAAAAGGGGGTCTCTGCTCTCCGGGAGGTGAGAGATGAGGTGGATGGCACCCATGGAAGGGAGAAGCGTGGAAGGGTGGCGGGGGGGATGAGTGATTCCTCCCAACCCCAAGAACTGGCTGTGACTCCCCCAGGCCACCCTTAGCTCCTGGTGAAAAAAGTACACCTGTGGGGTTGGATGGTGTCCCAGGCACTGGGCTGATAATATTGCCTCACAAGAAAGGTGTTTTTCTTTATGGCACAGAAGAGGAAATGGAGATTGGAGGGATTTGCCTGATGCTACTCACCTGCCGCAGCCTGGTGGGGCGTGTTCCCAGGCCTTACAGCCTCCGGACCTGCACACCACTGTGCCTGCCAGTGAACTTGCCCCGGGTGGTGGGGCTCCTCTGCTTCTCACTCCTCCACCCCATCTGGGTGAATACAGCCTGGGTGCTGAGGGGTGGAGGACTTGAGCTTTGGGCAGGTCATGCTGGTATCCAGGGCTTCCAACCCTACCTGGGGTCCTTGCAGTGGAAGAGGTGAGGGGTGCCCTGACTGGATAGGAGACTAGCCCCAGGAAGAAGGGTTCGGCTTCCTTCATCCCCCTCTTTGGGTCCCACCCCTCTGGATTTCCAACCCCTCACCCCGTTTCCCTCCTTCCATGGCCCAGCCCTTTCTGAATAGCCAGGCTTAGAGAAACCCCCCACAGGAAGAGATTGAGGCCCTGAGAAGGGCAGGAACCCACTTAAGATCATGGGGCTCTTCCTGTCAGTTCTCTCTAAGGTGAAGAGTCTGAAATCACATTATCTTGACTTTACACCTTAGACACAAGGATTGTATTAGAGAGGCCTCGGGGAGACATGTGCAAACAAATTTACACTATGCTGGTAGATGCCCTCAGGGAGCTACCCCTATCTCCGTGGTCACTGTGTCCCCAGATGTGTCTGTTCTCCTTCCGTGGGTTCCAGGAGCTGAAGACTATGGTATCATTTAATCCTCTCAACAGTCTGGGAAGGCACATTATTTTCTGCAAGTGAGGGAACCAAGGTCAAGAACTAGGCCACAGCCATGCAGATAACTGCTAAGGGAGACTGCCTGACAAGCTCAGATGGCCACAATTGCCCCCTCCTTGCCTGCAAACAGCTCCTCCTCCAAGGGCCTCCTGCAACCTCCGCCCAGTCCACTGCTGCTTCCCTACTTGCCTTGTGCTCCAGCCAAAACCAATGATTCCTCCCCAGCACTCCCCACACTTGCCTACTACAGGCCCTACTCAAGCTGCTCCAGCTCCATCTGCCCAGATCCTCCTCCTCAATCTTACGCTGGCCCAAATGCCACTTCCTTTTTTTTTTCAATCACAGTTTACATTCAGTGTTATCCTATATTAGTTTCAGGTGTACAGCATGGTGGTTAGACAATCAGGTACTTTACAGAGTGGTCCCCCCACTATTTCAAGTACCCACCTGGCCCCATACATAGTTATCATGATATTATTGACTATGTTCCCTGTGCTGTAATCTACATCTCCATGACTGTTTTGTAGCTACCAATTTGTACTTCTTAATCCCTTCACCTTTTTCACCCAGCCTCCCAATTCTCTTGTCCCCCTGTCTTGGAGAACAAGGCAGCCAGGGACAACTGTCAGCCTGTTCTCTGTATCTATGAATCTGTTTCTATTTTGTTTGTTAGTTTATTTTGTTAGATTCCACATATAAGTGAGATCATATGATATTTGTCTTTCTCTGACTGGCTTATTTCACTTAGCATTCATACTCTCCAGGTCCATCCATGCTGTCACAAAAAGTAAAATTTCCTTCATTTTAACAGCTGAGTAATAGTCCATTGGGTATAGGAACCACAGCTTTTTTATCCACTCATCTGTTAATGGACACTTGGTCTGCTTCTGTATCTTGGCTATTGTAAATAATGCTGCAGTGAACATAAGGGTGCATATATTCTTTCAAATTAGTGTTTCAGGGTTTGTTTGTTTGTTTGTTTGTTTGTTTGTTTGTTTAATACATATTCCCTGCAGTGGAATTGTTGGGTCATAAGGCAGTTCCATTGTTAATTTTTCAAGGAACTTCCATACTGTTTCCACAGTAGTTACACCAGTCTGCATTCCTACCAACAGTCAAATGCCACTTCCTTCATGGAGACCCTGTCTGCCCTCACCCGGATCAGAAGCCAGGCCCTCCTCTCCTGAGCACCATCCTACAGCTCTTTGTCTGTTCCCTTCTTAGGCTTCGATCTTCCCTGCATCTGACTTTGTAGCTGTCTGGAGGGCAAGGTTGTCTCCTGGCCCCTGAATTCCTGGCCATTTAACTCTAGGGCCCAGCACACAGTAGGTGTGCAGGAGGTTGCTGGAGTTCTTGCCTTGGGAGGGGTTGCACCTCCACAAACTCATCCTTTTTCTCAGCAGTCTTGGGTCAGCTCAGCTAGTC